CACCGGCACATTATTTGCTGCGAGGTTCTCTGATGATGACAACTTATGCACCAGCACATTATTTGCTGCGAGGTTCTCTGATGATGACAACTTATGCACCAGCACATTATTTGCTGCGAGGTTATCTGGTGATGAAACTTATGCACCAGCACATTATTTGATGCGAGGTTCTCTCGTAGATTATTCAGGTTGGGGATCATACATGACGCTAACGGCCTTGAAACCATAACAATGGTCTGGATGTCATCGGTAGCTTGTGTTTCAAGGATCGGACGATTTTTGTTAGCTTGCAGAGACTTTAGAGCTTTTCACGCTTTCTTCTTTCCATAACCATAGAAACCTGATACGCTGTCACAGCCAGTCAGTGCATGAAATGCTGGAAGACTTGCGCACATCTTGTTCATCTTTCCTTTGAGACCTGTTGTTGATTGTGTTCAGCCGGTTGATTAAACTCCTAAAATATAGCCCTTTCCGAGGTTACAAATAATATAAAACTATATAACATCACAGTAATCATTTGTTGGTTGTAAAACAAAATATATTGACGTCATAGATGGAATACAGTTAATGTTGTTATGGCTTCATACAATTTGATATTATAGTTTTAAGTTAAAAAGAAAACAAATCATTATTCATATTTTAAAAATTTCGTAGTAGTTGTGAAATTTGATATATATTTTAGGTCATTGAAGATTATATGCACATTATTTTCAGATTGTATCACAGAATGTTGCTATGAAGTAGCAACACTTTCCACATCATTTTACCCCTAGTGATTCAGCGGTAAGTCTGAAGGCTTATAACGCTAAAAAACGGGTTTCGTTACCCGTGATGGGCACAACACATGTAGCTTTGTTATCAACAAAAAACAGATCAAACAAACAAACAACCCACAGCAGTCTGAAAAATGCCTATCACGACTGTTCCTGATGTTTCAGTGTGTAAAGAGATATCGTAATATCAGATTTTGTCGATCTCTTTAAACAAATATATAATGTAAAGTATAAAGTGTGTGTTTGTGTAATTTTAATGGTTCTATTTCTTAGATATGTCTTTGAATTTTTCAGAAAACAATGACAACTTGAAAGCTGGAAACACACGACAAAACTTTAAAAGGTTTCTCTCCACGTCGTCCAATCCTTTAATGAAAGTTTTCTACTTGGTACTCAAGGATAAACTTCTTTGTAAAAAAAAGGTCAATATAAAATTACTCTGTAAAATATAAGTGTATTTTTAAGTTTTAATAAAGTAAACAGTGTTTTCTTTCGCAGAAGTATAGAACAAGGCCCGGCATGGCCAGGTTGTTAGGGCGCTCGACTCGCAATCTGAGGGTCGCGGGTTCGAATCCCCGTCACACCAAACATGCTCGCCCCTTTCAGATGTGGGGGCGTTACAATGTGACGGTCGATCCCACTATTCGTTGGTAAAAGAGTAGCCCAAGAGTTGGCGGTGGGTGGTGATGAGTAGCTACCTTCCCTCTAGTCTTACACTGCTAAATTAGGGACGGCTAGCGCAGATAGCCCTCGTGAAGCTTTGCGCGAAATTCAAAACCAACAAGTATAGAACAAAAGCTAAGACGTCACAGAATAATCGTGTATAGAGATCTGTGAAGCATTTTAGAAGATTAAAAAGCCCTTGATGATTAGTTAGTTTAATATGGTAGTTTTTTCACAGTTTGTACATAATTTCTACACAATATATCAGCCAATAAAGCGTGCACTACTTACAGTTTATACCAAAATAATGTTAGTTGATCTTTTGTAAGTGAATCACTAGTCCATCTAAACTTCTCGTGATTTAGTCATACAAGCATCAATATGATAAACTGGGGGTTTTCAACAAGGCTTTAGAAAATCCTTGGCTGTAGGCAGATTGTTTTGTAACAAAATCACTAGTCCATCTAAACTTCTCGTGATTTAGTCATACAAGCTTCAATATGATAAACTGGGGGTCCTGAACAAGGCTTTAGAAAGTTCTTGGCTGCAGTCAGAATGATTCGAGGCTGAATCTACATCGTCCAAATAAGATCAGTATGTTTCGGTAAATAAACTAAACAGCGCACACTGCCTTCCCATGCAGTTGCAAAACTTCCACGATAATAGCTTAAATAGGTTAATAATTCTAGGTTAAAATACTGAATAAAAAACTAGCCCTTTAAACGTTTGTTTTCTTTTAAACTAGAAACGTCTATCGATATTTTCCATCAGCTTTTAAGTATTACGTTTGACATATTAAATATTAAATTATGTATATTTGTCATAGGTGGTAATTGCCAGGTTTATTATGACGAAACAAAATTGAAAAAGATCAGTTGTAACTACTGGAAACATCTGTTATTTAAAAATGTTTCATAGTTATTGCGCTTTTTCTTTTGTTTTGCCAGTTCAAGTGCCAGCATTTAATGATGTCATTAAAACACCGATAAGGAAATCATTAAAAAAACTTTCCTAATAAAAGTTTGGAAGATCCTGGTATGCCTTTAATTTTATTAACGTTAAACATGTAAGCAATGCTCATTCAGCATTTCTTTTTTTACATACAGAGAAAATAAAAACCCGAGTGCAGAAAAGAATATAAAAATAAAAGATAAAAACTTTTTTTACACTATAAAATCGACATTTTCTGGGAAACTCAATCCTAGAAACATTAGGTTTAGTATAGCTTGGGAAATAAACAACCAAATCCAATGACCTTTCTAACATAGATTATAAAAAATGTTTAATGTTATCAAATTCGTTAGATTTGTTTTAGTAACGTCTTTGTATGCAGCATCTCCATTGGTATATAGCTTTTATTTCTGTTTTGTTTTGTAATATAAAAACCGTAAATCTTTAATGGTAGTTTTTCACTATTGGTTTTAGTACAAGTGAAACATTCATTCACTGATACAAAACTTAAAAACCGCAGTAAAAAAGGCGAAATGCTCGTTTCGTTTGTTTTTACGGGCCTTATTCTCCCCATTTTGCCTCATACGCCTGTTTGTCAGAGGCACGTGTTTGAAAATTTAGTTTTTGAACTATTTTCCACTACATATGTACTGCTTTAGAGTTCACACTAAACGCTAGTGAATTAGGATGTTAGTTAAGCTTTTACTCCCTGTCAATTTCACAGCTTTTTTTCACTCCCACTAATACACTACGAAAATTGAAAGCAGTGTGTGATCGTTAGAAAAGAAACCCAATAACCCGAGCGCTATCTACTATCTGAAACAAAAGGAAAGACCATTTTCCGAAATTGTTCGGGTTATTAAGTTTCTTTTCGGATGCTATCGGTTGACCATGCCTGCTTTTCAATATCATGAGAAGTCTTTAATTGGGATATTTAATTTTCTGATGACAAGGTTTATTAACTTTTACGTGTGAAAAATAACTAAGGTGCCGATTTTAGAAATAAATTAATCAATTAAGTTACTCTTGTTTTAACGAACAGGAAATAGCATACAGCACCACCGTTTTCAGATATAGATAAATATAAATAAATTATATATACAATACTTTAAAACATCCTCAACGCTGGTATTTTCCAGTTTAGCAGATTTTCATTGCTAAGATTAACATAATTTACTTAAATAACTAATATGTCGTTTTAATTAATCAGTTTAGTGGAAAGTAGATGAGCTACACAAAGGGCTATCTGTGCTCTGCCCACCACGGGTATCGAAACCCGGTTTCTAGCGTTGTAAGTCAGCATACATTCCGCTGTGCCACTAGGGGGCATGTGATGAGTAAAAACAGACTTAAAATATGAACCTTTGTGTTCGTTAATTATATTTAAACTAACGCTTTTTTTTTCAGAAACAAAATACAATAATATACGTTATCTGACCTCATTTCTTGGACGTAACTGGCCATATGTGCCTCAGTGTTAGTTGCGACATGACTTCGTACTTTAGGTTTGCTATTTTTATTATCATTAGTACTTATATCGTGTTATTTAAATATTTTCAAGTCGCACGTATAAATAATCATGATGGTCGAGTAATGTATTTTGATACCATGTTTTGGATTTATTTTTGACAGGTAAATCCAAACTGATCGGTAAAGAGTATGATTCTGAATAGACTATATCCTCGGAGTGCCAAAGGATTTGGGATATTTTGTAGCTTATTACTACTTAGCATAGTGATTATTCAAAAAGTTAGATATTCTACACAGCCAGATATCGTCAAAAACTCAGAACGTGTTACGGCAAAAATCTACATTCCTACAGGATACAAGGATATTATAATAAAAACACCCTCTGAAACAGAGATATCCGAAATAATTAGGAAGTATATTACTAACAAAACTCCAGAATCAAAAACACAGAATAAAATTCTGAATTTGAAAATCGCGTATCCGCGAAATCCAATACGCTGATAAGGAACCTTCGTATTCAGAAATTGAGACACTTAAAAAATCTGAAGACACCGAAATTACAAAAGTAAAAGAAAATTACAATATTGCTGGTGCAAAGGATTGGAGCGACAAATGGACACGGATGGCTTGGAAAATATTCGCCTATTCGGCGTTCTGGGATGACCGCATGGACTTATCAGAAGGTTTTCGAGTGATCATAGTTGCAGCAGGTCCTCGACGACCTTTGATTTTACAGAGAGTGAGTTGTATGTTGAATTACGGAGATTATAATCAGACCACTGACACGAACTTTCAAGTTATCAATGAAAATCATGGTAAATCCACGTCGGCCATATTGTTTTACTGTTTTCCTGCTTCGTCCGAACGTATACCGGTTTCAGCAACTCTGTTTTTGAAAAAGAGGAAGATTGTGAGGGCCTGGATACCAGTTCACCAGCAAAAGTTGAGGACAGATGACAGCACAAATAAGACAGTTGTCTGTTTGCGACCAATGTTTGGAAATGTCATTCTAACGCCACAGGTTGTAGAATTTATTGCATTCTATCAAATTATTGGCGCCACACACTTCACCTTCTACGATAATGGCATAACAAAAGAAATACATTTGTTATTGAAGAAGCTTCAAGAAAAAGCCGGTGTTTCGGTATCTATTCACTCCTGGGATTTGCCAAAGACATTATCGAGTATATGGGAAAGGGGTCAACTTGCTGCTATTCAAGACTGCATCCATAGACACATGAATACTTTTGAGTTTGTAATACTTGTTGACATTGATGAATTTATTGTCCCTCAGAAACAACACCAGATGACAGTTCAAGAAATAATTCATTATGTAGATAAGCACAAAAAGGAACCCCCAGGTTTCAAATGGGGAAGTTATGTTTTCAGAAACAGTTTTTTTTGTTTAGAATTTCCTTCTCAGAACTCAGCCTTGAAACCTAGAATTGAACTTCTCACTCAGACAAAACTGTTTAGAAAAAAGAAAATATGGCCCCCATTTGAAAGATCAAAGGTAATTGTGCGCCCTCGCGTGGTTAAAGTAGGAGGAATTCATAGTGTGATAGAACATGTTGCTGGTTATCGGTTTCAAGTTATTCCTCCAGAATTTGGGTTGCTTCATCACTACCGAGGAGGTAAGAAACATTGTCAAAACAGCAGCGTTTCTGAAGCAGTTATAAATCGATCGACCCTAAAATATCAAAAACTACTATCAAAGTCACCTATTCTTCAAATATGTAAAAATGATGTTAGAAGATAGGCTCAGGGGAAGAACTGAAAACAACTCATCAATGTAAAGGCCTGAGGTTTGTAAGAGAAATTAATAAAACATCAATTATAACAGATTTAAAAGCTATTGTTTCTTCTCATTAATACATTTCTACTCTGAAAATATTATTTTCTTGTAGAATAAAACATATGAGATGTATGTAGATTTTAGAGAATTATATCTTAATATGCAAAATTCTAATATGCTTTCGTTTTTGTAACATATTTCCAGGGTTGCCAGATATTTCAATCAAAATCCCCCTAATGGTAAAAAAACAAACTATTTGCAACATATTTCCCCATGAACATGCACATGACTTGAACTCATTAGAAAATAAAGACATGTGTATTTTTCTTTATTTACAGCTTTTAAAAGCGATTGGTATGGGATTCATTGATATATAATTTGAATAAATGACTAAGTTAGTACAGACAGAATGTGCATATCTTACCTGCTACGAGTCACGATACAGCGCATATCTCAAACACATGTTTATCACACCTTTCGAAGATGGTGAGAGCAAAAGCAGAAATTTCCGTGGGAATTATTTGGGATGAAGTCTGATTGCTAGTTGCACAAGTCTATCACTGTCTGAAAGAAGTAAGTTCTTTGTAGTGAGCTGTAGTGCAAGTAATCAGAACAGTATCATAGAAACAGAATCTGGAGAGTCATTATGAGAGGCGATTAAAAGATATAGAAAATAACCTCAAATTCTGATCCCCCCCCCAAATTAACTTCCCTATAATCCATATTCCGTCCCATGTACCTTCACCTCCATTCCTCCGCTTTAAATTGGTAATTTTTCTCCCAATCTGGCAACTCTACATTCTGCCCAAAGTTCCAACGGACTGATGTGAGACTGGGATTCTTCACTAGACCACATACTTCAAAGATGACGTTTCCCCAATATATCATCCTAGCCTTGGAGAGACATGGGTGAACAGGTTGAAATCTGGAGAAGTAGAAAAAAAAAGGAACCTACAGTGAGTGGTCACAAGTAAATAGACACCTAATTTTTCGTCATTTAACTGATTTATGCTAACTCATTTGTG